TTAAAAAAACAGAGCAATTACTTATCACCAAAAAATTGTATTTTATGTCTCTTAATGGATGACTGTATCCATCATATTCCAAGTACTCATTTTAAAAAGTAGGAGCTGTAAAATGAAGTTAATTATAAAAATAGAATAATACAAACCATTCCTTGCCAAGGAGGTGGTGGTCCCATGTTATGAAATTCCCTCACATAATCATTGTAGGACTAAAATGAAAGATGATGATAATGTCAATAATAAATTAAATGTTTCCAGAACTACAAATAATCAGACCTTGGTTAAATATATAAAATTTAATGCTTACCCCATTTAAAAACACATCTCGGCGAACTCCTGAAAATCGTCTGTTGGGAATAAGATTTGTGAAACTAAATTCAGGTAATTCATAAACTAGTTCCCAGAATGTAATTCAAAGCTAAGCAAGAGTGAACCCAACTTACCTATCAACTTCCTGGTATCGGGGATCCTTTAAATACCCTGTTCAAACATCAAGCATTTTAGTAAATCAAATTTATATTTTTATTATGGCATATTAAACCTTCCTTTACCACTTGTTCCAATTCTTCCCATGAAACATCAAGTGATGCCATTATTAAACTACAGGTTTTTCTCCTATTTTGCAAGTTTATGGTCCAAGTCTCACTACAGAAAAACTCTTTATTCTACATCATAGAGAAGATTAAGAGTAGAAGAACTACTTGAGGACACTGTAACAGTCTCTTTATAGCAAATGTTTACCTTTCACTTTATAAATGCAGAGGTCTTGGTACTTGGAAACCATGGGTAAATTTCAAAACATGCAAGCTTAAAACACAGGAACAAAATTGCAAAAGTTGCAAAAATGAACATGTACACATTTTAACTCCAAGAATCTTAGTAATAAAAGAAATAGCCACCCCATCCCCTACTTCCTTCAGTAAGGATCCAGCAAACTATCATGTAAAAATATATGGGTGGCTGTGTTATACTTGGGAAAGTATCCTAATGTAACAATCTTCTCTTAAAAAAAAATGTTTGGCAGGAGAGATTGCTCATCAGTTA